GCTGGTGTAAAGCCAGAGCAAAAACATCAGGCTCGTATCTTGAAAAGAGTCATTCATTAAAGGCTCATTTTTTATTTATTTAATTTTTTTTCAGAGTCTTACTTGTCACCCTCAATAGAGTGCTATGGCATCATAGCTCACAGCAACCTCAAAATCTGGGGCTCAAAAGATCCTATTTCCTCAGCCTCCTGAGTAGCTGGGACTACAGGCACCCTCCAGGACATCTGCCTAGTTTTAGAGACAGGGTCTCACTCTTGCTCAGGCTGGTCTGGAATTCCTGAGCTCAAGCAATCCACTGACACGCCTCTGCCTCCCAGAATGCTAGGATTATAGGCATGAGCCACCATGCCCAGCCTAAAGGCTCATTTTTTGAAGAAGGAAAAAACAGTCTGGTGGGGAGACCTGAAGGAGCATTGGGTCACTATGCACAATTAAAACAGATCCTAAGAACAGGAGAAAGAGCATAGTCTTTTCAATAAAATTATTTAAAAAGTAACTTGGGAAAGAACATTTGCTCTGTTTCATAGAGGCACATAGTTGCCCATTAAGATTCCAAACTGCACCATCTTGTTCAGCTGTCACTGATGCAACTTTAAACTGTGACGTGTTCTTATCAGCAATCCCATTCTGACCTTTCTATGCCTCAGTTCCATTTCCACAAAATGGGATTGATGTAATGTGGATTTCAAAGGAAATGACTGTAGACATTTAGTGCCAAAACATGTTAATAATTATACTAGCAGAAAATATGTTTTAAGATATAGATTCTTGACATGGTTTGAAATTGCTTAAAAGATACATATATTTATATATATTTTCTCTAAAAGATATATATGTTAATACATGTATATATATTTTTATATACAGTAGAACCTCTGTAAGTTGATCACCCAAGGGTCTATAACAAACTGGTCAATATATGTAGGGGGTCAAAATAAAGAGTTGTCTTATTGTACTGATATGTACATGTGGTTCATGTCCAGTCTATGAAAATTAGGTCAAGTTAAGGAGGTGGTCATTGTAGGGTTATGGTCAACTATGGAGGTTCTACAGTATTTACACACACACACACACATAAATTTGCTCTTGTTTGAATTGCTATTACTTCAATGCTTAGGGGAAGCCATGTACATTCATTTCTAAGACCCATAGTTCATTAACATAAATTTTATTATAACAGAAGCTCCCATAAGCATTGAAACAATTTCTCCAGCCCTTTCACTGCTTTGGGTCTTTTTTTTTTTTTGAGACAGAGCCTCAAGCTGTCCCCCTGGGTAGAGTGCTGTGGCATCACAGCTCACAGCAACCTCCAACTCCTGGGCTAAAGCGAGTTTCCTGCCTCTGCCTCCCAAGTAGCTGGGACCACAGGCGCCTGCCACAACACCTGGCCATTTTTGGGTTTCAGCTGTCATTGTTGTTTGGTGGGCCCGGGCTGGATTTGAACCCACCAACTTAGGTGTATGTGGCTGGTGCCTTAGCCACTTGAGCCACAGGTGCCGAGCCACTGCTTTGGGTCTTAAAAACAAAATCAAAGCAGGCAGGGAGAAAATGTGCCATACTGTTGAAGATTTAGTAGGTACACACTTACATTTGTGAACTCTCATTGCATGGACAAAAGGAAGGACCGGAGGATGTCTGCTGTTTGTTAGTGAATGGCCTGTAACAATTATAATTAGCATACTCCTGAGCACAATGATGCTGGGTAATCAGATTCAGCCAAAATGAATAGGAGTAGTCTCTTATTAAATTTAATTTCAGTAGCCTTGAACTCTGAGCACTGTCATCCAGAGCAATATAACTGGGTAGCCTTTGGAAGCTAGTTAAAAACAAGGAAATGAATTCTCCCCTATAGACTTTAAAAAGGAATGCAGGTCTACTAACACCTTGATTTCATCCGAATGAGACCTGTGTTGGACTTCTGACCTGCAGAACTATAAGATAATAAATTTGTATTGTTTTAAGCCACTAAGTTTGTGGTAATTTGTTCTGCAGCCATAGAAAACTAATACAGGTAGTAAACAAAATCAGTAAAATATATAGCATGTCAGATAACGATAAATTCTAAGAAGAAAATTGGAGCAAGAAATGTGGATGGGAAATGTTAGAAGGAGAGGATGGTTGTAATTTTATTTTATTATATTATTATTATTATTTGCAGTTTGGGGCTGGGGCCGGGTTTGAACCTGTCACCTCTGGTATATGGGGCCGGTGCCCTACTCCTTTGAGCCACAGGCACCGCCCCTATGGTTGTAATTTTAAATAAAGTTGAAAAGGGAGATATCTGTTGATTTTTGAGCAAAGAGCTGAAGGAATTAAAGCAGCAATCACGAAGTTAGAGGCCAAGTACCAAGACCCTCTGGTGGGAGCTTCCCTAGAATTTCTGGGAACAAAGGAGGGCATCAGAGATTTGTAAAGGGAAGGATAGTAGATGAGGTCAGAAGTAAGGGGATGCCAGTTTGTACTGGCTTTACCCTAAGATAAGAAGTCAAAGGAGGATTTTAAGTAGCACGGTGACATGATATGACATGCATTTTAACAGAAATACACTGGCTGCTTATTGACAGTAGATGGCAGGATAGAGGCAAGGGGACCAGTTAGAAGGCTACTGCAGTAATTCAAGCTAAAGGTATTGGTGACTTAGACCAGGGTGGTAACCGGGGGTGTGGGAGGTGGGGATATGGAACGAGATCTGCTTCTAGATAGATTTTGAATCCTTTTAAAAGGATTTGCTGAGAGGTCAGAAGTGGGATACAAAAACAGACAAGTGAAAGATGATTCCACTGTTTGGAGACTGAGCAACTGAAAGGTTGGGCCATTTGCTGAAATGGCAGTAGGATGGAGTTTGATGAAGAGGATCGGTTCAGTTTGGGTGAATTAGGGTACCTGGATCTTCCTCTTTCTCTATTCTCTGTCTTGAGATTTCTTTTCCAAAGATGCAAAGAAACATACACATAAGGAATAATAGCCAATGAGAAACAGTATCTTGCTCCATTAATGATGGAGTCAAATTTGCTGTATAACACCTATGCAGGGCTCTGATAAAAGTTGGGTTGGAGGCTTGGCGCCTGTGGCTCAAGCGGCTAAGGTGCCAGCCACATACACCTAAACTGCCGGGTTCAAATCCAGCCTGGGCCCACCAAACAACAATGATGGCTGCAACCAAAAAATAGCCAGGCGTTGTGGCAGGTGCCTGTGGTCCCAGCTACTTGGGAGAAGGAGGCAGGAGACTTTTTTGAGCTCAGGTGTTGGAGATTGCTGTGAGCTGTAATGACACGGCACTCTACCCAGGGTGACAGCTTGAGGCTCTGTCTCAAAAACAAACAAATAAACAAACAAAAAGTTGGGTTGGAGAATGAGATGTAGCCCAGAAGGACCTATGAGGGCTTGCATCTACTATGTCGGCCCTTCAGAGCAGATTGTGGAGGTTAAGACATCCTACTCCAGCCACCGGTCACAGGTGGAGAAGCTGAATGAGAGAGTACATGCCCCTACTCCCTGGTGAAAGTTACCCAGGAAATACCAACGGCTCCCTGCAAATAAACGGATTTACCACTCCTCCCCAGGGAAGGAGCTATCAAGGGGTGGGCAAAGTTGAAACCCAAGGAAACAGGCAAACACAGTTTCATCAATGTTTGTTGGTTAAAAGTAAATGTCCTCTTAGCCCTGCTGTGATCTGCTCATTTGCACCCCAATGAATCAGCCCCATCTCCAGAGGCAGAAGTTGGATCTCAACATCCTCTTTTGTTTCTGAGACAAGAGATCTTATTTTTCCTCTCTTCTTGATGGGAGTGAACAGCCTTCTCCCAACTGGGGATGAGACAAGTAAGAGAGGACCAGTAAAGTATAATTAAGGGACTTCCATCCTAATTCTTCTGGATGAGGAAGAGCTCTCTGATTGTCAAGAGGCCAAGAAGACCCAACAAACATTAAATGCAGTGACCAGGTTGGAGTGTCTAAAAATTGGGGCAGTTTGAAAATAAGATTGCATTCTTCAGTGACAAATAGAAATATTGCTTAGTGGCTGTGTTTTTGTATCAGACAGTCCCTTCACATGCCCCCTTCTTGTCTATTCACAATCTTAATATCTTAACATTGCATGAATGATACAGAATTAAATAGAATCATTAATCTAGGGTTGATATCATTATACTCTGACTACATATCAAATGTTTCCTACAATCTCAGAGCTGACTTGATTTTAGAAGTTCTCAATCAGTTCTTGTGGAAACCTCTTTTGGGGGAGGGATGTTTTCTTCATATATCCTAATTCCTCTCAATATATTTCTGCACCTCTTTACAGTGTACAGCAAGGATTGCAAATTGCGGTTCTTATCATCTATTACTCCTCAATCAATATGCATTAACATGCTGTCATGTAGGGAATAGGAAGATGTGGAAAACCCAGTCCTTTTTCTCAGGAAGTCAGAAACCTGGTATTTTATGAATCTTACTATACACTAAGAATACTCTCTATATTTAATTTCCCTAAGGTAGATGTTGCTCCCACCAGTTTGCAGAGAATACTGAGGCTTAAAAGTTTGGGGTAGACCGAGGTCAGGCAAGTTGAAAGTGGAGGCCTGTGGGTTTGGCTTAGAAATCCTTGTTTATTCATAATTTCCAGTTTGTTCTAGTAAATCCTCTAGAACCTCAAAGTATTTTCTAATGATTAATGCTCCATTCTGTGTCAAGCAGCCCATGGCATTTTTTGACAGTCAGAAAATCCTGGAGAGAGTAAGCCATTTCCCCCAACTAGGTGCCTTGGCAGTGGCCGTTGTGGATCCAGAACACAGCCTTTCTGATCTGACATTTTCCTTGCCGCCCTGGCTCCCCCGAAGTAGACTGCCTGTGTCCCACCTCTTTCCCAGGGAAAGATGAGCCTAAGAGCTACCCGACTTCTCTCCCCTACGGAGCTGCCATTCTACAGGCGGCCGCCAGGGGTCCCCTCCCGGCGCCGCCGCGCGACAGTCGAGCCCCGGCGGGCTGCGCGGCGCGCTGGGTCCATGTGGGGGCTGCTCTGGAGCCGCGGCAGTAGCAGCTGGAGCCCCGCGCCCGCCCGCCCCTGGCGCGCCTGGACTGCGCGCGCTGGCCGGAGAGCCCCCGCGGAGATCGGCAAACGTCGCCCCACCTGCCCCGAGCTCACCGTTTTTCTCTCGCTCTGACTGCAGCTGACCCGGCGAAAGGAGCCTACAGGGCCCTAGGCTGAAGGAAAAACCCCACGGTGAGTGAAAACCAAGCGCTGGGAGGCAGCGCCCCAGGTGGGCAGAGGTGCAGGGCGCACCTGGGTGCAACCAGGGGAGTGAGGTGTGGACCCGCTCCCCGGGCCGGCCGCGGGTTTCTGGGGCTGGAGTCCGCCGCAGACCCGTGCGCGCGCCTTGGCTTCTGGCCGGCTCCGCGTGCGCACTTCCCGGCAGGAACAAGGGTCCGTTTCCCAGCCCGGGCGGGATTCGTGCCCTTGATTTTGAAAGACGTAAATCAATAAAATCCCCTTTTCTTAGGAGTGCAAATCTGTTTCCGAACCTATCCCGAACGGCGGGTGCGTGCAGGGTGCGTGTTCGGCTGTGGGTGGCGGAAGACAAACTTTTTTGCAAGTGCGCCCGAGGCAGGGGGACCGTGCTTGGGCGTGTGGATCCTGAGGGAGGGAGGAGACTTGGTTTGGGGCTGCGTAGGGGAACTCCGTACAGTCAGGTCGCTCCGGGGCTGTTGCTGCTCGGTGGAAGTAAGGAGAGTACAAAGGATTTACAAATTCTGCGGAACTCTTGGGCCAACAACTGTCAAACCTCTGGAGTCCTAGCCCTTCTCTTTCCTGTACTGGGGAAATGGGTGAAAACCCCTTCACTGTTCTTTGATTGCCCTTTCCCACCTTTGGACCCTTCTCAGGAGTGTAAAGAGCTGACCCCTGGCATCTGGCAAGTACCAGTGACCCTAAGCCCCGCAGGATTGCCCCTTACTCCCCTTTCTGATCCTCCCATATGCCCTGCCCACAGGGCCTTTAGACACAGCCGACAGAGACCGTGGCGAATGGCCTTTTGTTTCTCCGCGTTTCCGCTATTGTTTGCCTTTCCAACATCTGGCGGGGCTTGGGGAGAGAAGGAAGCTCCTCTCTTCCCCCTCTCCCGCCCCTGGCTCCAGCCGCCGGGCCACCTCCTGTAGGGGACCCCAGCTGGGGTGAAGGAGGAGCGGGAGCCCAACCAGGCCGCCCCACCCGGGGCCTTGCGGTTAGAGGGCGGAGGGAAAGTTGTTCCTTCCCCGCCTCCGCGGCTGCCTGTGGCCCAGGGCTCATTTCTCAGATCTGATCCGAGGCGCACTGCAGAGGGCGAACATTGAGAAGGGTGCTGCTTTCTAGAGAGAGCAAGCGAGGTCCCGCCCAAATCCATGGTGTCTCGTGGTTGGTTCTAGTAGATTTCATTCTCTAGCTAAATACCTTGTGGCTCCTCTTGCCTGAGCAGTGAGAGGGGGTCAGGGCACTACTCCCCAGTCGGCAGAAAGCCAAGGTTCTGGGGTCTGCAAGGTTCTGAGGGCAGGCTAGTTGCCAAATAGAGAATGGAGATGGAAATGACTTAGGAAGCCTAAAGACGTTGCCTGGAAATAGTGATGGTGTGGCTCACTTCGGAATAAACGTGGAATTCTGACTTTGCATACAGCTCCAAGTTTAAATCCTAAATTCTCTTTCTGCATTGTAGAATGAGAGAACCTAGAGGACGCGATTAGACGCTGCCGGAGCAGTGTTCCTGCTTCCATGTCTCAGTGAACAGGTGGCTTGGGATGGCCCAGAGGTCCCCGTGGGTGTGCCTGTTAGATTATAGGTGGCCCTGTTTCCCAGCACAAGTTAGATGCATACACATCGTGTCCATTCTGTGTGAGTGTACTGTACATTAATTATTTATTAAAGAACGAAGGCAGGATCCCCAGATGGTGCCCAGATTCCTCTTAACAGTAAGGAGAAGCTCAGTCTGAGCACCTGTTGGAACCTTTATTTCCTCTCCTCGCACCCTTGAGTTGACCTCGTGTTGCCAGCTTCTTTCTGTGTGAAGGCGAATCACTCTCTTCCAAGGACACTCCACCACACTCTTTTAATCCTCTAGCTTTTGATCTCTCACCAACCCAGGGAAGGAAGGAGGCTTATGTAGGGACACTTGTGACCTGTGTACCCATTCAAACATTTTAAGTGGAAACTATGCTTGCCACTGCACAGTTCTAGGAGTTTTCCTTTTGCCAATTTAATAGAGCTTTTGAGTTTCCATTTAACGAAAAAGGAGTAAGAGAGCTAAGTCAGGAATGTGAACCACAGAGCACTTTCTCCAGTGATTTCTGGATATTACCAGTGAGACCAAAGAAAGAAAAAAAAAGTAAGATTTTTGAAGAACTGGAAGGCACTTTATAAACATTTCATTATGAAAATAATCTCCAAGGAAGGATTCCTGTGAAATTTAGCTTCTCTGCGGCAGCAGCAGAGAATCAGCACCAAGAAAGGACAGGACTTGCTCAAGAACTACCCAAAGTCATGACTAAAGCAAAAGGAGAGTGCTTGTCCCAGTCTACCCCAGGGTAGAAAACAGGGTAATTCGAGTGGAAAATAAGCTTCGGATTCTTTAATTCTTTTGGAATTAAAAAATTTTCTTCTTCCCCAAAAAGTTATTGTAGGAAAAATAGAAAATGCAGATATGCAAAAATGAAAAAAAGGAAAAAGAATAAAAAGAGGGGGCAGTTATAAACAAGGCTTGAGTGAGCAATCTCATCTCATTATTTCCTTGGAACAGATTTCTGGAGATGTGGTAGCTAAGTCAAAGGGGTCGATGCACCTTACAGGATATTAAGATTGCTATATTGTCCTGCAGGAAGTGTGTGCCGGAACCTTCTCCCCACCAACACCCAAGGGCATCTGTTTTCCTCCCTTCCATTCTATACCATCACTCTTTGTCATGTCTGCCCTATCGATGGAAGGAGAGTACCTCGTTGTCCTATTTTTGATTTTTCAAATCAAGTTAGATTAAACGTTTTTTCATATTGTCTGTATTTCTTCCTTTGTGATGTTGTCAGTTTGTGGCCTTGCTTGTTTTTCAGCGGGAGTGTTCTCCTTTTTCTTTTGATTAGATGTGCTCTTTATCAAACCGTTCTATTCTCTTCTGACTTCTGCTCCTGCCACACCACTGAACAATCCGTACAGACTAGAAGTGCTCTGCTTTCTTGGCTATTCCCTTCCCTCCTGCACAGCAAACACTTGGCAGGACCATAACCACGAATGACTAAAATAACTGACATAATTCCACTAAACTTATTAGGGAGACCAGGCAAAGGCATTATTAGAGAAATTCATGGAAAATAGCACATGTATATTTGTAGCTTAGTAGCTTGCATGGCCCAACTCTTTTATAACTTGTAGTGCTTTTTTTTTTTTTTTTCCCATTGGGAACTATCTGTTGATAGTTGTTTTTACTAAATGGATTTCACTAACTCATTTCATGTTCTGATACTTCTGCTGATAACTCATATACTAGGATCCACAATTTGTTCTTGTTCTTTTAAACATTTCTTCTAACTTTTTGAGTGAAATTTGCCTCAATTTTATCCGAAGACTTTCTTCCTTTGACTATACCGTTTGAGCAATGTAGAGTGGAACAGCTTGTAGCACCTCTCTGCTAAAGCGTTTCACCCTCCTTTGCACATTTGTGTAGCCACAGTCTCTGTTAATTCTTGCTTGAAGGTATATGATTCTGAAATGGGTAGAGAAAAGAGAGGAAGAGAAAATTCATTTTGGTGAATTAATACTGATGAAAGGCCCTACAAGAAAAGTTAAGTAATCTAGGTAATCTGGGTACAAAATAACTTAAAAAGATAAAAGATATTAAAGTGTCATGTGTCATTAGAATGGCTGGTTTAACTAACTGATAGGAAATCGTCTTTGAACTGTGAAAATCTGTCATAAAATCCATCCATATTATGGATTTAGGCATTTCATTTCTGGCACATGAAGAGCTATAAATGACAGATACTATACACTACTTTTCTGCAGCATTTTCCATGCATTTGGATGTAGGAATTAAACATCGGGAATGTAGAGTGCTCTGCCTTAAACTCATAGGCTCTCAAAGGCTAAATAAGCGGTTAATGGTCATCTCTTTCAGCCATCCAGCCCATTTCATTATGGATCTTCACTCTCTTACCACTCTGCAAATGGCATCGGCATCACTTCAAACAAACCAGACTGAGCAGCAAGTGGGCCAGAGGAGGGAAAAGGAAGGATATTGGCTTAGGGAGCTTGTATAAGCTCTTTTAATGCGCTGAAATTTCACAGACTAAACATCCTTGTCAGAAAAAGGGATAAGTCATTGAAATATTACCATTTTGCAACATTCTGTGTTCCATGTTCTCTAGTTATTGTCTTGGTGAAGTTCAAAGGTGATAGAGCAAAGCTTAGTTCCAAATGGCCAAAGAGAAGAGGAATAGAGAGTAGTAAATGAAGAGCAAATCTCACTCCTTTAAACTTGTCGTAAGGACTTTCTAGCAAGATTCATGGTCACCCAGGGGGTGACTGGCCATGTTATTCCTTAGAAAGGAGGTGACTGATGTTCCAAGGGCAAGCTTTAGAGACAGTAGACGTTACATAAACCACCAGGTATCCAAAAGAGGACAAGGTTTACAGAATAGCAGAATAAGTAAAAGAGGACAAAGGAGGAGGAAAAGGAGAAGGAGATTTTGTAGGGAAATAGAATTTTAATACTAAAAATATACCTTATTTTCTCCTGAGTAGTGCTGTGAATTGGTAAAAGTAGTAGATACATCTTCTGATTTCCACTTGTACAATGTCCCAGGCACAGTGACTGTATTTCTTTTCTTTCAGGAAATTGTGCATCTTGTTGAAATATCTCCTCAGTTCTAGGTTGTGCACCTGGGGGCCCTGAGCTCCCGAGTATTTCATGGCAGCTTCTTTCACATCTGCGTTTTCATTCTCCTCTTCCTGCAAGCATTGTTCTAGGTACTCCAACTGCTTGTCAAGTCCCATCTGGATTTGATTCAGGTGTTTCAGTTTCCAAGTGGGTTCGAAGGTGTATTGACTGAAGATGTGGAAGGCCTGTATGGACACTTCATAGAAGGCCTCCCTGAGGCCCCTTTTCACAGTCTGGGTATGTGATAGGATCTCTTGGGGCAACTCAAAATCTTTGTTTTCTTTTAGACATTCTCTAGGAAATGAATTGCTCATACTGCTGAGAAGTCTCAGATTTTGCAAAGTGACTCTCCTCAGGTGAACATTCAGTAAGTTACAGTCCAGAGATAGGTTGCCAGTAATGCAAAGACCCACAAGGACTATAAGCCACAAACACTTTGGAATCATGTCAGGCTTGGTGCACATTTTTTTTTTCCTGAGCTAAAACATCCGCAAGACCCAAAGTCCACAGCGATGTGTTAAGCACTCTCTCATGCATCTTTATATACCCGAATACCTTCAGCAGGAGGAGTTTTCTCATTCGTCAGTTAACATTTCTCAGGGTTGTGGCCCCTTGCCTTTGCCTCGAAGGCTTTTTTGACTTTGGGTGACTACACTGACTTGGAAACACTGTCTTTTTTTTTTTTTTTTTGAGAAAAGTGAGCAAAGCATTACTATTGCATTACCTTAGATGTTTGGTGATCCATCTCAGCACTAAAGAATCATCATAACAAGATTGATGCAAAGTAGTTCAGGTAGCTGAAAGTTGTGACTCTGTATACACATATACACTCACTTACCCAATTCTATTACAAGAGAGAGGGTGATACTTCATGTATATATATGTAGTTCTTTTTTTTTTTTTTTTTGAGTTAATCATAGACATTGACCAAAGGACTATGATTATTTGATTGCTAGGTTACCAGGACATTATATAGTTTATGTTTTTCTGATTTTTTTTTTTTTTTTTTTTGAGACAGAGAGCCTCAAGCTGTCGCCCTGGGTAGAGTGCTGTGGCATCACAGCTCACAGCAACCTCCAATTCCTGGGCTCAGACGATTCTCTTGCCTTAACCTCCCAAGTAGCTGGGACTATAGGCACCTGCCACAACATCTGACCATTTTTGGTTGTAGTTGTCATTGTTGTTTGGCAGACCTGGGCTGGATTCGAACCTACCAGCTCTGGAGTATATGGCTGGTGCCTTAGCTGCTTGAGCTACAGGCACTGAACCTTCTGATATTGTTAAATGAAAATCCTGTGAGTATATCTGGATATTTTCTCTTTTTGTTTGATTTGTCTGGATCTCAAAAAAGATGAAAGACGGAAGTGGTCAGTTTAGCACGGTGCTTACCAAGTAGAAGACTAAGCTGGCTTGGTTTTCTGTTGCCACTAGAAGATGTTGATATTCTCTAACTGTTCTTTCCTTTAGTTAAATCCATCTCAGGCTAGCATTTTTTATGCCTCTAATCGTTTTCTTAGAACTCTTCTAGGGAATATTATATTTTAGAATATTTTTCTGCTTTATTAGCCTCTCTCTTAATGGCATTATACATTTTCTTTTTTTTTTAATATAGTTTAGACAGTATTTTAAAACTTTTACATGGTTATTATTTTGTCTTGCTTGGTGGTTCTGAACTCTGTAAAGACTTTTCTTCCTGTATTTGCTTTTCACTGAGGACATTCGTAAGCAGGGGGTCACCTGTTGTGGTCAAGCTAATTCATACCTGGACCAACGTTACTATGGTCGTTATTGCTGTCCACCACTTATGGTTTCTGTGTTATTGTTTTTTAACCAAATAATGTTTTGGTTATGGGCAAGGCAAACAGATTCTTTTCCCTAAAGATGTAAACCTGTTGCTCTCTTAGAACAGAGCTCGGACATTACACCCTCTGCAGGATGCCTTTCCTCTGCTGACCTCTCCCCCTCCTGCAGAGGTGCATTTGATGGCATTTACCTATGCTGGCCTTACCTGTGCACATATCCCTAACAGCAATGAACACTCCAAAGAGGGCACTAGCCATACTAAAGCAAAGTAGTGCATATGTGTACTATAGTAGTACACACGTGTATACTCACAGATAATTGGTCTGTCTAGAAGTGATCTGTCACTGGTCTCTCTGTTCTTTAAAAGCTGTGCCATCTTAATTATCTCAAAATTTAATGAGGAAATTGAAAAGAATGACAATGTAAGGAAGCACTTTTATCCCTAAATTTGTCACAGCTGCCTCGTCTGTGATTCCTGGGACATGCACTGATGTGCTGTATTGTTTCCATGATACCTGCTCTTACTTCTCTAGCATGTCCTGGGATTGTGTATATGTGGTCAGGCTTTCCTCAGAGGAAAGCTGATTAGCAGGGGCCGCTCTGTTGTTCAAGGAAGTGTGTCAAGTCTATCTGGATTACAAGATTAACAGCCGGGGCAAGGCACAATGTGAACAAAATGGAGATGAGACATTTCAGTCTAGACAAGATAACTCTGATTCAGCTGAGGGGCATGTGGCATTGCTCATTATATTCAGTGTTCTCCATGAAAAGGCAAGTTTCAGACCAAGGTGAGAGTAACATGTTGATCATCCATGTCACTCAGTCCATGAACATAAGTCATTTTATTTGTGGGATCAGAAGGTTGTCAAGTCAGTAGGGAGCCCCGGGATGGGAAGCCTTACATCTTCCCACAGGTCACCACAACACTGGGCGAAGCAATTTTATCCCAGGGCCTACCTTGTCAGCTGTGCCAACGAGGTGTTTCACTCATTCTCACTACCTCGACATTGGGGCCTGCTTCAGTTGGGAGCAGCATGGTCTTCTGGTCCCTTTCTTGGCTCTGCTTCACTTAATGAGGTACCTGATATAGAAACTGAGAATGACTACACAAGGCATACACGGGTATGTAAATGTTGTAAAAATGTAAGCACTTCAGGGTAAGTGAAAGCTTTGCTTGGCAGCTCAGCCTCAGGTCTTGTCCCTCTCCTCCCCTGCGGTAACTCTGCTTACCAGTGTGGTATGTGCCCTTGTTTGATATCTTTCTCCCCACTAAGCAGTAAGTTCTGGGAGGGCAGGTGCAGCAGTTGGCTTGTTTGCTGCTTTCTTTGAAATGCCCAGTACGGCCCTCCGAGATTGAGAGAGATCTGGATCACTGCCAGGGGTGGGGGTAGGAGGACTTGCCAAAACAGGATTGTAAAAATTGTGATATGCTTTGAAGTTGAATCCTATATGTGTATCTCTGTGATTGCATATATGATAAAATTTGGAGATAATATAAAAAGTCTGCATTGTAAGCCCTTTATGGATGTGAGGCCACAATAAATGACTCACCAGATCTGACCTATGAAATATCCAGTCTATCACAGGACTTGGCACCCAGTAGGTGTTCCATCATTATTTGCCAGACAAGTGAAAAGGTAATGAAGCCATGTCTCAATGGAAGGGGAGTTATTTGGTGGTTTAGTTCTTTTTGTATACGAGGAGGACAAAGTTAGGTGTTGGGGAAAATTGAAGAATTAATTTTTTTTTTTTGCAATTGAAGAATTCATTTAATGGTAGATGATGACTCAAGTGCCTATTTAATGTCCTCTGGTGATTTTTCTTTGGGATTCCCCAAGGCTGGTTAGAGCATGAGTACTTTTGTACCTCAAGTCTAGTGATATTACACAGTTTTGTATTTTGGGGTTGATTCATCTATTTTCCACTCCAGATAAGAAACAAGTCTTATTTGGTTTTGTATCCATGGCACCTCTCACATTAAGACAGTAAATGTTCATTGGATCAAAAGCTGCCAGGTGATTGCTTATGGTTCTCAATTCTGATTGTGTATTATCCCATGTAGACACAACTGCCGAGAGAGTTTAGACCAGGGCCAACCCTTTTGTTTCCCTGCCACACATTGGAAGAAGAAGAGTTGCCTAGGGTTACACATTAAAGAAAGAAACACTAACAAAAGCTAATTTTCAAGGAAAAGGTGGGTGCCACTTTTTGTGATGACAACATCACAGATAAGCAAAGCAAGTCTTCACAAAGTCAGCATGCAGCCAGCCTGGGGGGTTACAGATTGGATACCCCTGTTAGACTGTTCCTCCCCCATCCCCACCATATATTGCTACTTCTTTGTATTAGATGCTCCCAGTACTGTTGTTTTATCTTACCACCCGAGAGAGGCTCTCTGAACAGAGTAGTACCCAGTTTCCTTTGGTAGCCCAGCTGAAGATTATATACATAGTCATTTCCTACACAAGAATAATTTGAGCTCTGAGAAAGAAAATGATTCCTAACAAAAAGAAAGGTAATGGGGTGAGATAAGTATTTGAGTAAATAAATATGCCCCCTCAGGGAAACCTACTCTGTGTTTTGGGATTGCTGGAATGGCCTTTATCCTTATCCTTATTCCGCAGTTGGTATCCCTGTGTCCTTTTGAGCCCTAACAGAACTTTTAAAGATGGCTATAACTACCTGAATAATCCTGTACCCACTTAGTATGAGTGCCTGTAGTAGGGAAGAAACAAAAGTGGAATGGGCAATGGGCAGAAATGTCTGCTTGTCTTGGATAAATAGTATTTAAAAAGGAGTTGGTGTTGCAGAGAAGAGGGCAGTGTCCTCTTAATTGCTATCAGCTTGCATGTGGTCACAAGCTTTCTTGACATTTATGTAGAACAAAGAAAAGCATTATCATGGAAAAATTTAAGTGAGCTTTAGTCTTAGGTTGGCTGAGGACTCATATGCTGCAAATTTTAGGATTTCTTCAGTGTCTGCGCAATGTCTGGGGGTGGGGTTGTGTCTGGGAACAATCTACTAGAGCCCGGGAGAGTGGAGAGGAGGTCACCTTTCTTCCTGCCAATACCCTTGCCTTCCAGGTGACTTGGAATAGGTTTCCTGAGAGATGTTAGACTTTTCCCCATGTCTGAAATTAATTTATTTATGCATCTATTTACTTTGTTTTCTTTTTTTCCCTATTGTATCTATGTATGTATTGCACATAGCATATACTCCGTAAATACTTATTAAATGAATAGATGTGTTCCAGTATTTTACCTTGTGAGTGTATTTTAATTTAAGTTGAATATAAGATCAGTTCAACAACTCTACCTTTTGAAAGAACTTTGAGCAAATCATTTAAAGTTTCTGTGCTTTATCTGTAAGTGGGGATAATAAGAGTACCTATCCCAGAGGATGATTGTGGAGATGTAAAGTGCTAGGAACAGTGCCCTGTACATAGCTTTGTGGTTAATAAATGATAATTGTCATTGTTATCATCACCATCACCTGTTGCTCCTGTGTTAGTCACAAAGCTAAGTTTGAAGAATACAAGAGTAGACAAGTGTAGTCCCTTGCAGAGTTTCCTGGACACAGTGACACCAGAGCTGAATTAAAAAAGGCAAGAGATGATAAGAGTTTGAATTAGGACAGTGATAGTAGATATGGAGAACAAGGGAATTGTTTAGAAGGT